GGAGCTAAATTGCGGGAGCAAGCTTTTCACCGAATAGACAATGCCTTCCCCGACAATTTCGGCCAAATGGTAACGACGAAATAAATAAACATTCTCAAACAAAATGGCGTTTTTGTCTCATCAGGGCTAGCAGATTTTAAAATGTTCGAAATTCAAAAATCTAAATATTTTAAATTTATTTTATTTTTTAGTACTATCATTGGTATGTACTTTGTTTTAAGCCAGTTACAATTATACGTAGATTATTTACAATAAAATTATAACTAGCCAGTATCTGTATATAAAGAAGATGATTAAGACGTATGTGATATATATATGTATATTATCTAATCGTGATAGATTCAATTTGAAAGAATACAGAACATCGATTCTTTTCTCTTACAGAATATTTTTATACATTTAAAGGCAAATTACATAAAAAAAAAACTATTGTAACAAATTTCGTATAATTTGAAAATTTTATATAGGTATAATTTAAAAGAGCTGAGTTTAAAATTGTGGGAAGCGTTTGTATAAAGTTTACGACCAACAAATTTAATTAAATTTTTGTGTTAACGTTAACGTGTAAAAAAAATATTTAAATTACTTTTTAATCAAAAGCAAGAATTATTTACTTATACTAGCCATTCCTGTGGCTTCGCTCGTGTAAATACTGATTTAATACATAAAGGATCTTTTGTGCTAAATAAGATATAACCTCCCTATGCTCCAAATTTTGGTACCTTCAGTAGTTTTTGCATGTGACATATGTATACATATGTCACATGCTAAAATTTGGAAAAATGGGCGATTTTTCCAAATTTTAGCATTTATAATATTAATAGGATTGAAGGCACTTTTAAGTATTCATATGACATGTATTTTTTATCATTCAATTCGACATCATAATCTTCAAGAAAAGAGTATATCCTTTTTAAAAGGCCGGCAGCACACCTGCAATGCCTCTGGTGTTGTGGGTGATCATGAGCGGCGGTAGTCACTTACCATCAGGTGAGCTGCATACTCGTCACCTTTGTTATAAAACATATCATTCAATTCCGCATGCGGTTTAGAAAATAAATTATTTATTTCGCTCCAAATACTTCCAAAATGTCTCTAAATCGTCAAAAAAGCTGTCGCTGCAGTAAAAACGTGTAACCTATTAATTATAAGTTGGCACCGCGCTTGATAATGTCGAGCCACAATTAATTTATCTGTCGTCTTAAAACACCGAAGTGGCAACCCTAAACCAGCACAATAAATTGCAATTTACGCGGCAGCATCACGTTTAATGAGGCTTCATTCAGTGACTCGCGGCCGCTAAAATTTTACACTGAAATTTCAATTTCGCCCGAAATAACAAGTATTCGAGTTTATACAGTGTACCAAAGACCGAGTTGTCTGAAAGAGGCTTTAAGACTTACAAGTTTGTTGTACAGAGTAAATAATCACCACAGATCAAATATTCCCTACGTTAATTAAGAGTCGGCACTGCGCTTATATTGACGAAATTGAAAAATGAATATATGCAATTATGTAGATTACAATAAAATAAGTAAATATACATACTGTTGTACTGCTATTAATATTAGATGTCCGTTTAAAGTATCTTAAACGAATTAGCTATTTCTTAGTGTAAAATTTTCAAAAATGAACTGATTGCATAGATTTTATACAAACGGTTGTTTTTCGAAGAGATGTGAGTCTAATTTATTGATACCAGAATGTAAAAAGAGTTTAGACTTTCAGATTTATGTTACTATTCTTAATTTATGCTTTCTTATTATCTAGGATAGTCATAAATTTTAAAAAAGTTTCTTAATTTAATTTAAAAAAGATATTAAAAAGAGGACCTTTGTAATCCGTCTAATTTATTTATATTATATTATTATTGCCTTACTGAGCAAAATCGTTTTTATTATATAATGTAACTAGCATTATTATATTTTTTTACTCACAGTTTCTTGTGTCATCAAGTAAAATATTTTATCCACAATGAAAGTTCTTTTGCCAAGGTATAAAAAAAAATTGAGAAAATTCTTGTAAATATTCGCTTAAACGTACTACCGTGGGTAAACGCAAAGCAGAAAAAAATCACGCAAGAAACACCTAATAAACTCCGGATGATAACAGATTTTCCCGTAAATTCCTTTTCCATCGCGTAAAAAAAAAACTAAACAAGGTACCTATGCGGTTTCTTGTCCATTAAGCTAATGACGCGTTGCTTTCGCTCGATCTATCTCAGTGACTCTCAAACTAAGGGCCGCATGATAGATGCAACCTTTAAAATAGTTTATTTATTATAATTGAATACTTACTACTAAGTTACTTACGAACAAATTTGGTCAAAGACAATAATAAATTTACAAATGTAATTTGATATCTTTTTTGTTATGTTGATAAAGATGGTAAAGTTTAATTTAATTAAAGAAACCCATGACAAACTTACTATAATTACCATTGTATAATTGCAATTATAAATTTTCATCAGGATCCCACATTGCTATAATAAACTATAAATCACATTATTGTTTCAGCGAAAAACTGAAGCTGTCTTATAAATCTATCAAACAATTTTATCAGTAAGAGGAAGAAAAAATATGTACTTTACATTTTTTGTTTCTTTTACTGATAACAACATTCTTGATAAATAATGATTAAGTAGTCTTTAACGATTATTTATTGACCACGACTCCATCTGAGTGACCGGACCATCTAGTGTTAAGTGCGCTAAATGTACATATATTTACACTGTGCATTAAAATTTCAATAAATAAATAAAAACGTTCACTAAGTAGGATAAAAAAAATATCTCTGTCCTACCTTATCCCATATAGTATGTGTATGACAAATTTAATAGTAATTGGATAAATGTTATGGCGCAAAGATATAAAAAACAAATTTACAAATTCTCTTTCACATTTATGTTATATACAATAGACTATTAAATTAAATCTTTGCGGGCCATAATGATAGGAAGTTGAGTACAACTGATGTAACGTATAGAAACATTAGACGTTTGATAAAAACGACTTTTTTCTGGTCCATTTGACTGAAAGAGGATTAGCAAGCATGCAATGCAATAGATAAGTATATCTATAATGTACAGTGGAAAGGGTTTGCCATAGCTTGGTTTAAAAACGATGCAGTGTATTTAAGTGCCAATGTATATTATTTTTTTATGCAACTTAGAATGTCAAACAAGTTGACGGCCCACCTGATGGAAAGTGGTAACAGTTGCCTATAAACATGAGCAGTACCATGAACATAACAGAGTATACTGTTTCGCTCATGATATCCCCCATGCGTTGCCATTCCTGAGGACTCAGATGTTATTCCTCTGCCTCCTATAAATACACTGCCATATTCCACCCTTTAAATCGAAACACAACCATGCAAACACAACTGCTTAAATTAGTTGATTTTCAATCCGCACGGTTTCAGTAATTTAGTAGTATTTATTTTACTACAGTCATTTGTGTCAATGGAGATCCTTCTCACTATATTTTTTATACCACTAAAGTGGAAAACAAGGATACGGCCTACCTGATGGTAAGCGGTTAGAGTAGCCTATGAACGCCTGTAAGGGGCATTACGCGCATATAACTGGCTAAGAAGAAGTCTACCCTTTTTAACCCCGTACTTAAATCTGTCGGGGAAACCTCGACAGGCAGTTGACTCCATAATCTGGAGGTCGTATTATTTTTATGCTCAAAAACATGTGCTTTTATTTGTTGTGTTTCAGTTGGAAATGAAGGATACGCACAGTTGTACTACTTCCAAATAGGGTACTTTTTGTCCTATCTCTCATACGGTTAGGATAAAAAGTACCCTATATATTACTATGTAGTAAAATCATAGGATAGTATCTAGTGGTTATTGCTATTTAAATTATAGCTTCATTAGTGTCGTCCTTTTAACGAGAAATAGTGAATGTTTAATTTATCTTACGAATTGTACGAGTAAACTTTAATTACTTTACGTTTATGAGTGTAGTGATCGAGTGTATTTTATAACACAAGTTACTTTGAATGACCGAATTGATTTTAATAAAATCTGCCATACAGATTTTATTCATTTATTTATTACATACAAGAAATTTATAATGTGAGTACATTGGACAGTCCATAAGAGATGAATGTAAATTAAACCATGGAGTACTGTTGGTGCTGTAGATTGTCACTTGATCACACTTGAAGAAATTGTAATAATCTTTATAAATTAGATCAAAGTTATAGTATTTCAAATTAGTAATATATTTATTTAATTAGTGATACTTTCTTACTTATTGATTTTGATATAATTGATTTAACTTACTTATTGATTAGGGTACTTTTTATCCTAGCTGACATGCAGTTAGGATAAGAAGACAGTAAAATAAGTAAGTAAAAGTAGTTAAAATTAAACAGTAAAACCGCAGTATACAGCTAGTTTTCGGACGCTACTTCATTATAGCTTCTAGCTAGAGTGTCGCCCGTTTAACGACGAATCGTAAAGGTTTAATTTATCTTACGCGTTGTAAACTTTAATTACTTTACGTTCGCGGGTATAACGATTGAGTGTATTTCATTGGGTAAGCAATAAAGATATTATAAAGGGCTCTGAATACAATTGGATACTTTATTAGGAAAATAGAATAAATTATGGGATGCTGAATATGAAAACCCATGGCTCAGATGTGAATAAACAGATGAATAGACCTTTGTATTTATTCACATTTTTTATTACTATTATCATTTATTTATTCCTATTAAAACTATTCCTATTATATTTATTATTATCAAAATACTTAATTATAGATCTATTCCATATTTAAAAAATTAAAACTTCACACCTGGCCGTATATACATTTTTAAATTTCGAATGCGCTATTTTTTGATGAAAATATGTTTTGGCGGGATTTCACCCGTCAATTATTTTTCATCTCCATCTTAAAGTTAAGTTTGTAGTAAAATTTTAATTATCGCACGTATTGGTGTTTAAAAAGGAAGATATTAAAATTTTTATGTTTTTTGTTTCAGTTACTGCCGTTACATTTGTATTGGGGTACCGGGATGGCCATAGACAAATATTCAAGCAGGACAAAAGGTTAGTAAATAGTATATTACAATTATATATCTATCTTTAAGCCAAATTTCTTGTAGAGTAGGCAGAGAGAACTGAGTACCAAAGGCCTCTAATCTTAGATATTTAATTTTTAAATTTCACAATCTAATTTATAGTCCTCATTAAAATGGTCTAGGTATTCGTACATAGTACGTTATGTTTGTGATATATAAGCTTGTATTCGCGTATATATGCAGTATTTTTTTAATGAGTTAAGATGGAATGGTAACCCCGCTTGCGCTATCGGTATACGCTGGCGGGGTACGAGTAAAGGGTGACAAGTGAGGATGGAGGCAGGTCAGTTAGCCCATAATGACCAATTGAACAAGAATTAACCACTATGGTTTCCAAGGAGATCCGCGTGGATGCTAGCAATGGGGCTGTTAAATCTCATTACTAACAATCCCTTTCTCCCCTATATGCAGTGGTTGGCATTTCCATTATGCCATTCTAAACGAGGTAATCGCAAATTATACGTGCAAAAACGATGAATTGGGAAATTCCTGCTTTTAGAAACCATTTTAAAATGTAATGTTATTTTCAAATTTGGTGCATAAAAGGACATTTTGAATTAGTACATACATTTTTTTTATTTTTATTCATACAAACAAAACTGCGAATCACAGCTAGTTCATTATAAAATTGTCATCGCAAATTGCTAGAATGATTGGAAGAATGCTAGGAAATGAAGGTAAAGTCGGACAGTCAAATAAAAAAGCGCTTATCAACCGTTTCCGAGATCTCTTTTTATTGCCTTTAAAGTTTTATGTACGTGCCGTATAATGCTGGGGGCACAACCGGAGAAAAAATAAAATTCCTTTTATTTTTAAATCTGATTTTCGTTTTATAATTAAAATTTTATCCTGTGGAATTCCCGGATGTAATTTTTCTTTTTAAAATGGTTACAAGTTAACGGAATATGTGCTATATGTTTTTAAACAGATAAATATATTTAGTTAAATAAAATGAACACATTATTAATCACTGTAATAAAGAAATAATTAAAAACATGAAATGGGTAAAAAAAGGTAAATATTTAGTTAACTATTTCTATGACAGCCAGGCGACTGAGGGTAGTTTTTTCCTTCCCTTGAAAAAACTTCACATACAGTCGTTCTTCTTATATTATTATATTTTGCTGAGGTTTATTTTCTTGAGTTTTCTTATTCTTGATTTATATTTATGTAGAACAAATTTCTAATAGCACAGCAACTGATTACAGTGAATATCACTTATTTTATTATACTGTCCGTGATCTGGTTTAATGCGTATAAATTGATGTATCACAAGAGGCACGAGTACGAATAAAATACTAGACCTATCGTATCATGTATGATATTCTTATTCATCATTCATTATATATATATATATATATATATATATATATATATATATATATATATATATATATATATATATATATATATATATATATGTATAAAGTTATGTGCAAAAGTACGCGTTTGTGTGAAAGTTAGCGGTGTTAATAAAATTGCAACTGTGCAAATTTACTCCATCTTAACCTACGTACGAAGCTTTGAAATACAATGTAACATTACTCATCGTGTCAATGACCTCTCACGTTTCTGCTCTCGTAGCACCTCAGACTTACACGTTTTATGAGTGAAACCGACAATGTAACAACATTGTGAAGTGTCAAAACGTTATACAGTTGCGTTATTAAATCCCTGGCATTTTGTTTATTGCCTCTACCCTCTATCTGTATAGAGTGCGAATTAAATATATTTGAAAACAACAAGGTTGTTGATTATTTTTGCGGCTACTTTCAAAAGGAGGAGATTCACGATCCATAGATAGATAGATAGATACTCTTTATTGTTTCCTCCAAAAAGATTGCAATAGTAACTACTTATTATAAATACAAACAATTGGGGGGAAAGGGACTGTTAGCAATGGAGTTTGACAGCCCCATTGCTAGCAATATGCCTTATTGTATTGTATTGTATTGTAAAAATCTTTATTGTACATAAGTCAGATTAAATACTAGTAAATGATTTAGTATACAATGGCGGACTTATCCCATAAAGGGATCTCTTACAGTCAACCTTTGAGAAGCTGAAAGAAAACTTTATTAGGTCGACCTTATTAGGTCGACCTCCACGTGCTTCCCCCTGGAAACCATCGTGAACAATTCTTGTTGAATTCGTCACGATGGGCTAACTGACGTACTTCATACTCACCTATCATCTTTCACTGGTACCCCGCCGGTGTATACCGATAGCGCGGGTGGGGTTACCATTCCATTATCTATTAAAAAAATACAAACAATTACCGTAAATAGCGACCTTATCGCTAAAAGCGATCTTTTCCAAGCAACCTTTAGATGTAGATGAGTAATTATAAACAGTTTGATCGGAGGCACGATGAAATTCTATTATTTCTAAAATATAGAGACGTGATACATAATAATAATGTAAATATATATCCCTACTAATACATCTATGTTTTTTATAGTTATATATATTCGATTGGCAGTGTAGAGCTCGGCATAGAATGGAACGCCCCTTCCTTTCCCGTGGGTGTCGTAAAAGGCGACTAAGGGAGGGCGAGGGATGGGTAGCAGCGTCCCTCCTGAAACATCTCCAAAGCCTAACTGTGGTTGCCAATTCGCTTGCCGAGCGTGGTAACTATTGGCAAAAGTCCCTAAAGTGAGGTTTATGTTCAGCAGTGGACAGTTAACGTCTGATATAATTATATATACATAAAAAAACAGGATTTATAAATTCTTCCTTTCCGCCATATATATTTATTATTTTGATATACATTCCCATCTCATAAAAATATGGTTATTTAAGCATAATATCACTTGATATCCTCTTTATCGCTTAAAACCTTTAAACTTAATGCCTCTGTTTCAGCTCCGATGAGAACGCCGCGTCATCTTTCCTCTCCCTCGGGATTAGTGCAGACACACCGCGGAATAAGAGGAATTATGGTAAGTAATACAGACACTTTATTGTACCTATTTAAATATATAGATTGTCGTGAGCCGTTGAGACATAAAATAGGTAGAAATGACATCTCTATAAAGCCTATAATAATAATAATAAAATTGTTATCAGAATATAGTCATATTGTAGTTACAATATCTGGACATATATTGCCCTAATAACAGATATTTAAACTATCGGTTATCTACACTTATATTATAAAGAAGAAAGATTTGTATTTTTGTGTGTACATATGTTTGTAGTGAATAAACTCAAAAATTACTTTGCCGATTTTAAAAATTCTTTCACCATTAGAATGCTACATTCACCCTGAGTAACATAGGCTATATTTATTGCTATAAAAGATTAGGCATCCTTACTAAAACTTTAGTAACGTAATTCAACGTGTAAAAAAATGCTATAAAATATCTTTCGTCGCGTGCGCTGCGGAAACTATTGGTGATAGAACAAAAAATTAGTTCTACAATATTGAAGAAAATATCAATAACTACAAAAAACTTTGGGATACTATATATCCAACTATTATCGTTATGTCACAATAATAACTTTTTAAAATGTTGTAAAAATGTCCACTCGTGCGAAGCCGGGACGGGCCGCTAGTCCAATATATAGTATTGAAAAGAACTTGTTCGTATTGAATATAGTTATCTAACTGGTATGAACGATATCGCAATGGATGGTTATCAATGTCCAGAAAAACTCAATATATATCAGATAAGATATCAGATATCACTCATCTCTAATATATACAAAGTCTACGGTAACTACTTATCATCGGGTGGGTCGTATGCTTATTTGCCATCTGTGGTATAAAGAAAAAAATATTTAAGAAAAAAATATTTTAGAAATTTTGTCTGTCTCTCTGTCCCAGCGTCACGCAAAAATTACTGCACGAAATTTTATGCGATTTCCACAGCTATATTTCTGAAGGTCTAACTTAACAATTGGTATACGTAACCTTACTTAATAAATTTGTGACAACAACAAAAGGGAACAACATTGCTGTATTAATAAAGTTTAGTGTCCCTTCTACCTGATTTATTCAGTCTATGGTCTCATCTGTGACCGCAGTGTGGTAATATTTCATCATAAATTGTACATAGCTCTATGGAAACCTTCAGTTTGTATGATTTCATTGAATTAACAATCTCCATCGTGTTGGGGCAGATGTTGTGCGTCATAAGGTTTAAGATTCGATTATCGGTCGAGTGAATTTAGTGAATTAAACAACTGAACTTAAAATAAGAATAAATAAATATTGCTAATCAATGAAAGCGACTTTGAACGTTGTATGTCGTTGTATGGGCCATTAACTGCCCACTGCTGAATATAGCTTCCCCCAAAATGTTTACTTAGCACAATTTGTAATGTGGTCCCTGCATAGAATGGACCACCCCTTTCTTTCCCACGGGTATCGTAAGCGGCGATTAAAGGAACTTAAAGTACGAAGAATGGGCAGCAGCGTCCTTTTAAAACATCTCCAAAAGCCAAACTGCGGTTGCCAACCCGCCTGCCAAGCATGGTAACTACTAGCAAATTCCCCATTATGGGCCAGGACTATGTTTATCAATGGACAATTAATGGATAATATAAATGAATAAATGACAAAATCCATATCAGAAACTGGCCCAGAATTTACGATGGAATCGCGTAACGTAGCCAGAAATCAAAATCATAACCCTCTTTTTTTTCTTCGCCGTAGTCGGGTACAAATATTATCAATTTGGAACTTTTTTCTTATGGAAAATAACAATTACACATCTTTTAATGCGGTATTACGTTTACTGGCTTAACTTACGTGTAATTCGGTTGAGAAAGCTCCACTAGTTTCGGGAGCATTCAGAACCTTTAATCTTGAGCGGCCATGACATGAGCGCGAAACTAGTCAAACGTTCTTAACCAAATTACACATAAGTTTACGAAACTTTTAACAATAAAATTACGTACCTAATCATCTAGTTAGTAAAAGATAACTAAATACATACACAATTCATTCAATGATGTATAGGAGAAAAATCACTTAAATGTCATACAACATTTAATACTTAATACAACATTATTTTGTCTTACTGGTAGCATTAGATGAGAATTTGTTACATGAAGTTGTTTCAGCTAAAACACGACTCGCTTCGGCTTTTAAAGTTTTAGTCTAGATTCTAGACTCGATGTTTTGTGGTACGGAACATTGAAAAATACACATCCTTGCATGTAAATGTATAGAAGTAATATTTATTAATTTACTTATTTAGGGATAGGGAAGCATTAGTTTCTCTCGATTAAAAAGACACAGTATCCAAGGACTGGTAGAAAGATTTACAGGCAGAGACTGAGAGCTGGTTAATGGATTGGCCTCATCATTTATTAACAAAATTTAAACCTGACATCCAAACAGCAGATTGGATTATTGTTCTATAAGGAACAGATTGCCAATTAGCAGACTAGAAAAAGAAAAAAATATAAAAATACTTATTTAGCGTGTAACAGGGATATAATATATTCATCAAGACAAAAACAATTGGAAAAAAGTAAATAACCACAAAGTGGACATTTTTTATATATTTCCTTTTTTATAATTTAAAATTTACAATAACGTCTGCCCCTCCTTTTTTATGTCCTGTTTCACTATCTCCATATCTTCTTTACGAAATATACTGGTAAGACTACTGTTTGGTTTTTTAAATTTTTTTCATCAACCCTCACAAATGATAATAATCTACATACTTTTCTAACTCAAATGTACTTAGTATGTCAAATTTTATAAATATTAGTTGAACTATTAAAGCGACAAGAAATAGTAATAAAAAAATCAACAAATAAATACACTTATACATACATAATATTACCACAGTTTAAAGACGAGTCCTATAGATGGCGGTATTAGTAAGTCTATTAAAATTTCCCATATTAAAGCATAAGTACAAGAATAAGTTATCAAGCAAAACTGTGTAATAACACTAGTTGATTAGAAATATTTTATTAAATTCCGCTACTACTAGTAACATATGTGTGCTATATACCAACACTTGAGGATTTTTGCGCGATTGGTATACGTCAACGGGGCACCAATGATGGTACGTGAGCACGAAAGCAGGTTAGTTCCTCGTGATGAAATTCACAAGAATTAACCTCGATGGTTTTTTTTTTATACAACTTAAAATGGCAAACAAGCTGACGGTCCACCTGATGGAAAGTGGTAATCGTCGCCTATAGACATAAGCAGTAGCTATGGACATAACAGAGTATACAGTTTCGCCCATGATACCCCCCCCCCCCATTTATTGCCATTCCTGATGACTCAGGTGTTATTCCTCCGTACCCAGTAAATTCACGCCATATCCCACCCTTCAAATCGAAACACAGCCATGCAAACACAACTGCTTCACGGTTGAAACACGAATCGGACAGAGGTACCCAAACAATCGACTTTTGTACAAACTCTCCCTCTGGTAAGAGGTGTTGTGTTTTTATATAATGTATAAATGTTATATAATAAATGTGTTTAATAAATAAATAAATATAATTCAATAATCCGTTAATGAAATTAAATAATGTATGTATAGTTAATTTTGTCCGCCATTGTACGAAACTTATTCATTCGGAACAACAGTTGAGAAATTGTAGAAGTAGATTGTCCGGAAATTCGTTCCGGAATGCGGATCGTACTGGGATTTACATTCCGATGTCTTTTAACAAGTTAATTAATAGTCCGCCCTTTGTTTTACTTAATTGATGTATCGACTTAATAGTTGAAGTTCTAATAAACAACAATTATGGATCGGAAAACTTTTTTTTGTTTCTTGAGACGCATTGGAGAAGTTAGATAAATTCAGTGCGAGAAATTGTAACAAAGCAAATGAATAACGAAAGAATAAAATAATTTATATTCAACTAAAGTCTTTTTTAATTTTTAAATAGTTATTTCTTATGCTTCTAGCTTATAATTGAGGGATGGGCAGCGTCCATCTTAAAACATCATCAAAACCAAGTGCCAATCGGTTGTTAATCCGGCTGCCAAGCGTGGCAACTACTCACAAAACACCCCAATAGGGGTAGGTTAACGGATGTTATAATAATATAATACACCATATGGTCCCGGCATAGAATAAGCCACCCCTTCCTTTCCCGTGGGTATGAGGCGACTAAGGAAGGGCGAGGGATGGGTAGCAGCTAACTGCGCTTACTAACCCGCCTGCCAAGCGTGATAATTATTGGCAACTCCTCCAGGAAGGAAGGGGTGCCCTATTCTATTCAATCTACAATACAGTCTAGCAATTCTAAATCTTAGTAAATCCTTTGAATTTATCAAATTCACATTTGAACCATATCAAAATAGTAATGTTACACTATGTAGGCATCTAGTAAAACTTTTTGTTATTCCCACGGGATCGGAAGGAAATAGGATTCGCGCGGGTAATGCCCTACATAGTTTTCTTTCAGTAATTACAGGGATTTCAGTATGTAGCAACGAAAATAAGTTGGTAACAAACCAACAAGATAATTATGAGTTATTATATTGATAACTTTTGCTTGGCGACGGTGGCTTGACGAAAATAAGGAAAATCCATACTAATATCAAAGTTGTAATGTGAAAGTGAGTTTGTTTGTTACCTGTTGGCGCCGTAATGGTATTCGGGATGGGAAAGGATGTAGGCTGCTTTTTATCCCATTACATCCATAATGTTTCACAATAGAAAATTGTATATATTACTGTTATTTTTTATTATATCAGCCGTTAACTGCCCACTGCTGGGCATAGGCCTCTCCCAAAGGTGTAGCCAATAGTTGTCATGCTTGACAGGCGAGTTGGCAATCACAGACTTTGGTGATGTTTTAAGAGAGACGCTGCTCTCCGTACCTCTTTCATCAAATTTCCTTAGTCATCTCTTACAATGCTCACAGGACAAAATGTGGTGGTCCATTCTATGCCGGGACCATATAGTACTTGTATATATATTATATTTTTTAATAATTAAGATTGTATTCT